AAAGATTAACTCATTTTTTTCTTTTCTTTTCTTTTTGTTATGACTTTGAGGCTTCTTTTCATCGTTATGATTTCAGGACAGTTGATCACAAAGACATTTTTATTTTATGCCCCCAGAAAAAATATAAAAATGAATTTGAATACAGAAATTACAAACAAGGTATTCATCGTACACATACATTGCATATTTCATGCATTTTTAATCAATTAATATGTCGAAAAAAATCACTGATCTAAGATTAACTTATGCCCTCCTGTAAACCATTTTCAGAGAGCCAATAGTGCATAAGTTCTCCAGTCTACTCAAATTACCATAGACAATTGTACATATTTTCACGTCCATGTTCTGAGTTTCCCATGTCCACAGTATGTTTTCAGTTTTTCTGTATCTCAGTATCGTGGCAGCTGTAATACAGCTGTAGGTCAGGCTGCAAATATCATTTCACGTTTGGTATTTGCAGGTTTCGCTCATGTTCCAGGCTAACAAAACTCGTCTCTCTGAACATAGGTCTCCAGAGTGCAGCATTTGAGAAGGGATTTCTGGTTAACTTAGCCTTAGGATGTAATCACTCTTTATGATGTTTGGACACCTGAAACCACATAGTTTTAAAAGTAATATGCTGTAAAATGATTTTCGCCCTCCAGACGAAGTCTTTTAATCTGTGAACAAATATGTAAACTTTATAGTCCACATGCTTTGCGTGTTACTTGGCTGGAATTTTCTTATAGTTTAAACAAGAAGTGGTGTAAACAGTCAGCTGAAAGCGGTTTTCTACCTTTTTCCTTCAAGTGTTGACAGTTTGTTTTCCTCAAAAGCAGCTCAGAGGTACATGAGAAGCAAGACGTCACAGAGGAACTCAGAGAGCGTGGCATCACCATGGAGAGCCAAAAACAAGACATCACCATCAATAAAACAGAAGATGAAGGACAAAATGATTTCACAGATGGCATACGAAATGACATTACAGATACCTGGCAGAATGACATACAGAAAGATACTCCTGAGGAAACTTTTGAGACTGACATGACTGAGGGAAAACGTCCACAAGACATCGCAGATGACAACAGACAACATGAAATCATGGGAAATCAACGTGGCACTGACAAATCTTTTAATATCATAGAAGACAAACAAGCATATGACATTACAGAGAAGACTGAAGGAACAGATGGCATATATCGGAGAACCAGATCAAACAGAAGTTCACACAAAGCATCTGATGCCAAACTCATAGTCAAAACACGTTATCCGGCCACAGCTACAGCGCTAATGTTCCCGTCTCCCTCTCCCACTCTTAGCGTCCTGCCATCGTTTTATGGACCTTCATTTGGCTATCGCATCAGAACGACGTCTGAGCCCTGCCGATCCAAAACAAGGACCAGAAAAGCCTGTGATGATGACAACAGATTTACACAGCCCATGAATGACATGCGACATTCCATAGAAATAAAAGGAAACCCCTGCTTACTACAAACGAGGGCTGGAGCGCCAGTCAGCCCCCACCCCAAAATAATGAGCACTGAGAGGGGGTCCCAGCCTCATAAAATGAAAACCACCAAGATGTTTTTGTGGGGACCAGAGGGGCCCCGAGAGACTAAGACAGTGTGTGAGCTATACAGTCCGGTGAACAGGTGGAGAAGCCAGGATTAAGTCTGAGAGCGATTTGACAGCACATTTGCGTGTGGCCTTTCATTCCTTTCCAATACAGAAAATCTGCTTTGCAAAAAGATGTTTGATTGAAACAAAGCAGTACAGACTGACACGTTATAGACCACCTTGGGATTAACAACTCAGCTGTTTTATGGCTTTGAGAAGAACGGCTTTAGCACTGGCTGCAATGTTCAGTTTAGTCCAGCAAGAAAGAGTGATAGACTTTTTAGGTTTTCTGACACCCATCTGGTGTTCCTCAGTGAATGGCAGTTAAGGGGTATTGACATGGAATATTATGATTAATTGAAAATAAAATCCCTGCATGTTTTTGGTGTTTTTTTTCTCTCTCTCTGAGTATATCTCTGACTTGATATGAATCTAGTACATCATCTAAAATATGTAACTCCATCCAAAAATCATGTCTGGTGACTGTCTTTCAGCACTGGGGAATGACATAACATTAGACTTTTGAAGGTTGAAAAGAAAAATGCCTCTACAGCTGCTGATTTTGAAACTAAATGGCACATTTAAGTGATGTATTGTGCACACTAAAAGGTCAATTACAGATACTGTGATATTAGTTTCATGAGTTGTTTTGTGAACATATCCTTATAATATATCAATATAAACTACTCACTATACACTGTTCAAAAGTTTTGGGTCGGTCCAGTGTTTTTTCTTTTCTTTTTTTTAAAGTAGGCTATCTTATGCTCAGCAAGCCTGCATTTATTTGATCAAAATACAGCAAAAACAGTAATGCTGTGAAATATTAATATAATGCAAAATAAGAGTTTTCTATTTGAATATATTTTAAAATGTAATGGTTAACCTTTATTTTAAGGTGTTCTTGTTACAGTGTAATTATACATTTAAGTACTGAGTAATATTAATTAACTACATGTAATTACTATATGGTTAGGGTTTGGCTTAGGGTTACTTGCTTGTAATTATGCATAATTAATTGTTATTACAATAGTACGTACATGTAACATGTGTAACAAGGACACCTTAAAATAAAGTGTTACCAATGTAATTTATTCCTGTAATGCAATGCTGAATTTTCAGCATCATTACTCCAGTCTTCAGTCACATTATCCTTCAGAAATCATTCTAATAAGCTGATTTGCTGCTTAAGAAACACTTTATTATTATAACACATCTTATTATTACCAATGTTGAAAACAGTTTCGCTGCTTAATATTTTTGGTGGAAACTGATACTTTTTTTTCCAGAATTTTTGGATGAATAGAATGTTCAAAAGAACAGCATTTCGGTGATATATATATATATATTTCTCTAAATTACAGTCATTCTTTTTTAGTCTGTTTCATTGTATCCATATGCTATTACAGTTATATGTTGAATGAATTATTCAGATTCTGAACATGTTCAAAGAGTGTCTGCAACTTGAGACTTTCATCAGTGCTGTAGTAGATGATCTGATTAAATGAAAACTACACTCATATAAAGCAGCAGGGTTGTGTGGAAATACCCAGAGGTCTCTGTCTCCCAGCATTCCCTTCCACTTCAGACTCTGAGTAAATATTTGCATTGCACTCAGAAAATGAGAAAGAGGATGTTAGCTGGGTATTGATGATAAAGCCTGTACATACACATTACTTAGCTGAGAAACAATAAAACATACATGTACAAGTAAAAAACAAAACAAACAAACAAAAAAAACCACTAAAAGTAATTACATTAATGTCATGAAAAGGAATGGATGGTATGGGAACAGACCGGGTCATTCGCTCCCAGTGACCTGCATGCTATTTCATCAAAGTAAAATGTGAGTTCAGCATCTTTTTTTTAGATTCTATTTACTTGACAAATTAGTTTACTTGCTTGTTTTAAGTTTGTGTTTTAATGAATCCAATTATTTATTATAAGGCAATGAATGGCGTCATCAAGCTACATGTCTTACAATGTCAAATAGCATGAAAAAGAAGAAAAGGTTTTGAACATTTTGTAAACAAATAAAACAAATTTGTTCAAGATGGTGTACTGATTTGATCTTTGATCCATCTGTGAAATGTAATACACATTATATTTCCTAGGAAGAAATGTATAACATTGATATGAAAACATCTGCTGTCCTCTAGTGGTCACTGGCTGCTGTTGGCCAGCTAGGTAAAGAAGCTCCCTTAAATCTCAATGACTTGGAAAAAACTAATTCAAAGCTATAGGATAAATAAAGTCTAGTTTAGTCTAGCTTTCTCACTGTTCCTTAGTACACTTTATTATTTAAATGGTATTTGTCACAAATTCTCCAGACTTTGTAACAGTTTATATTTCCAAACAGCTTGGGGAAAGATAGGTTTGTCAAATAGTTAATTTAAACATTTTAATGTAAAAAAAAACTATAACGATTTTCATTTATTTTTATGAAAACTAGTATGAATAAATTCAAAAATATTTAGGATTGACCGAAAATTTCATAAGGAGGAAAATAAACAGTTTGCAACTTTGAGAAGTCGTATAATGATATATTTCAATGGCAATTGGATTGGAAAAGCATATTGCAGTTAATAAAACTATTAGAGTTGTATATACATAAAATGAAAACAAAATATATTTCGGCATTATTTTTATTATTATTATTATAATAAATGATTATTATTATTGATAAACAGAGAATAATACATTATAATAACATATTTCAGTAGCCATTGGATAGAACAGGAATATTGCACAGTTGTTAATATTATTAGAAGTTGTAGATTGATACAATGAAAACAAAAAGGATATTAGACCATGTATTATGATTATAAACAAACAAATAAAACATAAATAAATAGCCTACATGAACATTTCTCTTCGTGTTGTTTATGCTAAAATCTATAAGATGCAAATGTGTTTTGAGTTGAAAGAAAATTTCATAGAGGAAATAAAACAATTTTCAAATGTAAATATACAGTGTATATAATAAAATATATAATAACATAACATATTTCAGTGGCCACTGGATAGAAAATGCATATTGTACAGTTATTAATATTATTAGAGAAGTTGTACATATAAACAAAAATATATTAGAGCATGTACAATAATTATGATGATAATAATAGGCCTAAATAAAAACATAAATAGCAGTATTCATTGTATATTACGAATAAGCATTTCTCTTGTTGTTTATGTTGTAGAATATGCATACCTTAAAACAGGGCTGTCAAACTCAGTTCCTGGAGGACCGGAGCCCTGCAGAGTTTAGATTCAACCCTGATTAAACACACCTGTTCTAACTAATCAAGTCCTTCAGGCTTATTTGAAAACTACAGGGTATGTGTGCTGAAGCAGGGTTGAATCTAAACTCTGCACACCCCTGCCTTAATATATAAGCTGCCGGTTCCATCGTTGCATCACAGGAAACGGAAACACCGTGTGACAGCGTAACCATGGTGTGCAATTCCGTTTCCGCTCCAGTCGGGATTTTTGTCCGCTCTGCAGGAATGTGTGGAGATGCTCTCGCTGGGGGAGAGGTAACAGCCGCACCTTCCTGCTGACAGATGAACCCACTCACGGGGCGCCGTGTCTTCGGCTCTCGGCACTGAGGGAAGCGGAGACACACTCGCATCCGCGCGGCTGCAGGTTGCTCCCAGTATCGCACATTCCCGGACTCGCATGATTGACTGAAGCTGCTCCTCCTCCTCATGGCGAAAAACACCCTGTCCTCACGATTCCGGGGAGTCGACATCGACGAATACGACGAGAATAAATTCGTGGACGACCAGGACGAGGCGGCCGAGCAGCAGGGACCGGACGCGTGTGAGGTGGACGATCTGATCAGGCAATATCCTTCAGACCAGACCAGTGCTGCTGCTGCTGTCATGATCGATCAATACTGACGGATCGTGTTTATCATCTCTGTAAAACATGCCAGGAGTAAGTTCATCTCTCTTAAGGTCACCCAAAAACAGCCTTGTCCTAGTTTAGATGTAGCTCATACATGATTTACGCACAGGTTGTGTCTCAAACCCCAGTCAGCTGCCTACGGAGGCATCAGCGCCCCTATGATGTCCAGAAGTGCTGTCCGGTGTCTAGACAGACAGACAGACAGGCAGATCACTGATTTGAGCCAGCCATAGAGTGAGCGTTAATAATAGTGAACCTGTCTAATAGTTGCACAGTGCGTGTGATGTGGGACAGTTTTAGGTTTATAAAAAAAATATTGCTGTTTTGTTTTTGTATTTAAAGTAACAGTTTTTAGTGGAGTTATTGGTGGTGCTGATTCCTTTCTAGTTATTTAATGTTATTTAAAATATTTTATAATATAAGTATTTGAAATTTTCGGTTATATATATATATATATATATA